TTAAATAAGGGGGGGGGGGGGACCAAACAACATTACCTCAACAGACAATGTGATTCAGTATAATTAATAGCTTTCCAAGACACATATTTTTGATTAAATCCTATTGGACTGAATAGAGTATATACAGATTTACTTAGACTAAGACTCATTGAATTCTTTAGGACTTTAGCTAATGATATGCATAGGTTGAATCAGTACAAAAGCCTATATCTGTGAGTATATGATTATGTGTTTGCTAAATAATTTATTCATCTTTTTCTCACATGAAAGAAGAAATGGTCCTTCCTTCCTTCCTTCCTTCCTTCCTTCCTTCCTTCCTTCCTTCGTAATTTATTTACATTAATAAGTAAGTCATTTGCATACATGGAACTTTCATGACAATTAACCATACAAGGGAGTGTTATGTAGTGAGTAGAAATGAACTAAAAGATAAAATTTCAGCTATAAGTCTTACTAGGAAATAGCAATCATTTTACTTTTTTTTTTTTTTAAACATAATCTATCTCAAAAAATGGTGGTGGCAATGGAGTAATTTCAGTATGTTAGAGATGATCAAGCTACAGTTCCAGGACTAGATTTATTCTACAACGAAGAGTTTGGGCAGCACTTCTGGTTTAATTCCATCAGTTATATTGTGAATAATAAATTTAGTATTTAATGCTGGGGATTCACCATTTTTAATCTAGATTACTGGCTCATGTATGCTTTGACCATCATGGAATGCAATCATATGCAGTGGGTGAGGGTTCCTGGCCCCATATGATATGGTCAAGTGATCATTTGGTGACTTTTGGGGATAGTGTAGTTTAATAATGAGAATTTAATCATTCTGTTCCTGAGTCAGAAGAATGGAAATACTTTTGCCTCAGGGCATTTAATTTTTTTTTAAATAATATTTTAAACTCCAGAGGAAAATATTAAGGTAAACATGCGATAGATTGAGAAATACACTGTAAGTAACAGTTAACAAAACTTTTTCCAGCTTCAACTTCAATTATGCTTCCTGTTGTTCTAGGTGGACATGTGGAAAGATTTAGAGATAAGTCACTTAGAAAGACGAAATGCAACCAGTATAACAGAATTCATCTTAATTGGATTTCCGAATCCTTGGAAGATACAGATTCTCCTTTTCCTGCTGTTCTTCCTCATGTTGGTGGCCACAATGATTGGTAATACCCTAATCATAATTCTGGTATTAACTGATTACCGCCTCCAGTCACCAATGTATTTCTTCCTTTGTAACTTGTCTATAATTGAAATCCTGATAACCCTAACGGTGGTTCCAAAGATGTTGCAAAGTTTCTTACTGGAGCAGAAGAAAATTTCCTTCTCTGGGTGCTTCATTCAATCATATTTCTACTTTCTGTTTGGCACCTCTGAATATGTCCTCTTGGCTATGATGTCTTATGATCGGTATGTAGCCATATGTTATCCCCTTCATTACACTACTATCATGAGTGGGAAGGTCTGTATCTCTCTGGTGTTAGCCTCCTGGATGAGTGGCTTCTTTTCCATTCTTATTCCCACTGTGATGAAGGTGGGTTTGCCTTACTGTGGGCCCAATGTGATCAATCATTTTTTCTGTGACAGTGCCCCTTTGCTCCACTTAGCTTGTGCTGACATCCACCTAGTGGAGTTTATTGATTTCCTTGTCTCACTTCCTATTATTCTGGGTTCCCTTTTACTGACATCAATCTCTTACATTTATATTGTAAGTACTATTCTGCATATTCCTTCTGCCACAGGAAGGCAAAGGGCTTTCTCAACTTGTGCTTCCCACTTTACAGTAGTTTCAATTGGCTATGGCACCTCAATCTTCATTTATGTCAGGCCTTCTCAAACCAGCTCTATGAATCTCAACAAAATTGCCTCTTTGATTACTACTGCAATAACACCTCTGCTAAACCCCATCATATTCACTTTTAGAAATCAGAAAGTCCAAGAAGTTTTCAAAGACTTCATTCATAAGCTCACAGACACATCCAAACAACTAGACTGAAAAATCTGTATGCTTTCCCTAATAGCTATGGATGGTGAAAACACATACCCCTCTTTTATATGTAGAACATACCTACAGCTTTGTCAAGACTGAGAAATGGCGACTTGCCCAAACCAACAGGTGAGCTATGTAACTTGAGAAAGGATATTATTCCTATGTGTAATATTCTACTAACTTAATAATGGTACAGAATCTAAACTTTCAAATATTTCATATCATATTTCACTCATTCACTCACTCACTTGCTCACTTTTTTTTCATTATGTTTGTGTGTGTAAAATCTACATCTAGGGAGTAACCAATAATGAAACTTTCTATCTTTTGTAAAATATAACTTTTGAGCAAACATAGTTAGTGTAGAATATATAATTATATTGTTATTCATTAGCAGAGATAAAGACATACTTGCTATAGGTAATCTACTTTTATCATAAAAATCATATAATAAAATAAATATACTATTTTAAAATTAGTCATACAAAATAAAATGCCCTTTATCCTTCTTTTACTTTCTCAACAAATTGTTTTATGTTTTGCTGCCTTGGATAAAGTTGATAGATAGATAGATAGATAGATAGATAGATAGATAGATAGATAGATAGATAGATAGATAGATAGATAGAGATAGAGATGATAGAGATGACAGAGATGACAGAGATAGGTAGATGATAGATTTCAAAATTATAATTACCCTTCTCCAAAATATTTTCATAACAAATAAAAGAAAAGCAGAAATACATTATTCATTCAAATTAAATTACATAGGTAGCCCAGCTCAAAACTCATTTATTCAGATAACCAGCTAATTTTAGTGACACTTTTTAATATACTTTTTAACCTGGCATAAAAACGGAATATATTTTATTTATTTTATTTATTTATACATTCAATTTATTCTCCGCCCATCTCCCCCCAATGGGGAACTCTGGGCGGCTCACAAAGTATATATATAATCCTAACAGTGATAATTCTTACAATGACAAATCCTACAGTGCTATATATATTACATTATGTGACCAGCAGTGGTCGCTAGGGGGTTATCCGGGCTTTTCCTCCTCCGTAGATCTTTCTCACCGCTCGCATCGATCGTTGCTCATGCCGGTTGCATTCGGAGTTTGGTCAGCACCAGTATTTTGCTCCCCCGTGCAGCACCGCCAGTTCCTCCCATCTAAATGGGAGTCCCCGTTTATCTACTCACAGATGGAATAGCTTTCGAATTCCTGGGTGAGCAGAAGCTGGAACGAGTGACAGGAGCTCACCCCGTCCCATGGAGCCGGGCCCGAACCGCTGGAGTGCCGACCATTTCTGACCGGCAAACTCCAGCATCATTAAGCCCTGCGCCACTGCGTCCTGAATATATAACAATAAGAATAATAAAACACAAGTTAATCAGACGAAAACCTTTTAATTCCTATTCATTTCAGTAGAAGAATGTGTTTACAAATGATGCTTGGAGTTCATTTCATCCATCATGATGTTATGCTGTGCACCAAGAAAATCAATAAAACAATGTTGTACATAAATCCAAGAGCCAGGGACTAATTGTAAATTTTGGTTGAGTGTATATTCCACAAGAATGCCAGCTTTCTTGCTTCGTGAAAAATAGAATGTTATCAACTCCATCTCAAGTAAGAGTCTTTCCCAAAATGTTAAAAAAACTACAAAAAACCTTCCTTCCTCCCCACCTCCCATGTTACAAAACTAGTGTATAGTTATACCACTAAAATGTGTGGAGATATGCATATGAAATACATCAGTTAGGGAGAATATTCTGACATTTCCACTGCTTGCTTTATTTATTTATTTAATGGATACACAATTAAGAAATCGATCCTTAAACTTAAACAAAAATAGAAAAGAAACAGTCTCAAACAAACTAAAAATGCAAACTAAAAAAGAATAGAAAAAAGAAGAAGAAATCTACCTTATATTTTATACTTATCAGTTGCCAGTTTACTAACGAATACACTACTATAACATGAACAGTATGAAATAGTATTGTAAAATATCACAACATCTCTGTCTTAGTAACACATTTTGCTGCATCCTTTGGTTACTAGAAAATATTGCCTTTTCCAAAACAGTTAGATCACAGATTTCTGACAGCCCTTCCTTGATATCTGGAATAATATTGTATTTCCAGTTTCTCAGTATGATTCTTTTAACCACCCCACCACGTTCAATACAACCATAATTCCTGATAAACACTCAACTTTCAAAGCTTTGGCATTGTAATGGTATAGGGGAATGACCTTGGGAGACAGGCGGAAGAGTTGCAGACTAGACAACTATCAGACAAGCAGCAGCTGAGCCCACAGAAGGAATGTGAGTGTGACAAACATCTCAGAAGAGACCCTCCCTACTTTCTTGGACTTTAAAGTTGATGGGAGAAGAGATGTACTTTCAGACTTGCAAGATTCTGTTAATGTAATCTTACAATAAAGTTTGAAATAGTACGTCAGGGTGTGCTTCTTGTCTGGATTATCTTGCAAGGCTGACATCAATTTTGCAAGTCTGAAAGCACATCTTACCCTGCCCACCTTTACAGATGAAATGTGAAGATAATTATTTAAATAATGCAACCATTTCACATTTAAATTTCCCAGCTGAATGGAACTAGGCAATAAAAATTTTTTAACATAACTTTTTTATGTGTATATTAATGAAATATTATAGTAAAGGATTAAAAATATATACTTAAAATTTAAATGTATGGCTAACCAAGTCACAGAGTAGTTATAGAAAGCAAAATAAAAACAAAACAATCTACAATGCTGTTTTCCTCTAACAGAAGCTTCCTTTTCTCCATTTTCCAAACACAAAAATTAGCAGTGTCTAAAACCGCAACCACAATTTTGCTAGCTTCAATTACATGTGTGCTAGCCACACATTAACTGAATTTTGGGTCACATTAAGTGTGACCTGGTATCAATTCACAATTCACACTAAACTGAATATCCCATTATTTGAACTCACACTAATTGCGATCTACCTGTATAATATACTTGCATACGAATGTAGATGCATGTACAACTAAATTATCCAGTGTTGTGATTTTAAGAAGCATACACATGTTAAGGTTTAAATGGTACATGCAATAACACCCATGAATTAATCAGATTTGTCACCATTTTAATAAAAAAAAAAAGATTTAAGTTTGAGTGTTCCTTCTATTATAAAGCAAATTAAAAAAAAGTAAAAAATAAAGGAACAGCAATGTTCAAGGAGGTAGTTTCTGAACCTCCTAGAATTGGTAGGTTCTACAATAATTGATTTAAAAACTGGTATACCTGGGAAAATTGCTAACAACAATATTGCTTTCTATGCATTTTTGCTTATATGGATTGACAAGGGAAAACTAGATGTATACTGACGTTCATTAACTGGAATGTATGTCAAGCTCCAGAGGACATACTTAAATATAATAAACAAACAAACAAATAAATAAATAAACAAATAACTAGCATTTATTTATCTATTTCCCTCCCTTGTGGTTGATCATGCTATCTCCAGGAAGACTGCCCAGCAACTTGTTTATTCTTTTTAAAAAGATAATAGATAACATTTTCAGACTTTGGTTATTTAACATTGATTCAGTATAGCAGTACTGTACTTTAGCTCTTGTGTTTCAGTGTTTGATTTAGGATTTTCTCTACCAAGAAAATAATGACTTCCTTGAGTTGAGCTCAGTTCCTGATGATTACATTGATATCCTCATTTACAGTAGGTAATCATAGAGAAGTGATTTGTTGCAACCTTCTTCAGATATATAGATGATAGAGATGATAGAGATAGAGAGATCCATTTAATCTTAAGCAGATCTGACCTGCTTTTCAAGATCAGCCAATATCATCTACATTCTCCTATAATTTATATATTTCATATAAATATGTGCTACTTCTTGTTAGGTGCCTTGATTACAGTTTGTGGGAAGATGGAATAAGTTATTTTATGAAAGAAAAATAATAAATATTATTGGGTTAATTAATATTAATACAACAGGAAGGATTTCAGGTTGGAAGCCCATTCAGTGCCATACTTATTGACTTTTAGATTTTAACAGCACTTAAGAAGTACATTATATTGTAACCTCAAAAGAATAGTCCTAAGAGAACCATTTTGATAAATGATCAAGCAGGGTAATGCAAACAGGAGAATGATTCACTTCACATGGAACTGGAACAAAGATGACAGTGGCACTATGATGCAGTTTAATTGTCATAAATGCACCATAAAAAGAATCTAGTCTGAATGCATTGATCACACACACACACACATTTTTCTTTTCTTTTCTTTAGGCTTCTCCTGAAGCATTCAAGATAGCTGAAGGATCAAATTTGTCCAATTTGTCAACAAGTGCAGATTCCACAGTATTCTTCCATCTCCCACGTGTGATTGTTAGTTGAAGATTTGCTTTCATGGTAAAAGGAGTGCTAAGAAGCAGAATGACTGATTCATGTGAGTAATACATTGCCTTTTAAAGAATTCAAAACAGGCTCTGATGCCCTCTCAGTTGACATTTTAAAATATTAATGTTGTGTTGAATTGTAGAAGAAGAAATCTACAGATCCAATAAATGTTTTTTTTTTTTTTCCACAATATATGTGCCACTATATTTTAGCAAAGTACGCTGAACAGAATGTTCACTTGATTGGGGAGATTCTAGCAACAGAATATGGAATATGACTATATATGGAAGGTTGGATTTAGTGTCTGAATGGTGCAGCAGGAATATTTAGAGAGCTGGACTCATTTGAAAGGAATTTGCGATAATTTTTAGGCTGGTCTTTGACCATTATGCCAGAAATTATACTTCAAAAAGTAGATGAGCCAAGATGAAGAAGTAAGCAATGCAAAGAAAAAAAATCAATTATATTAATTAAGTATGATTAATGAAATTATTATATATTCAGTATCTAATATTTTCCCCTGCCTTCTGTGACTCTGAACCATATAATTCAGTGGAAATTTTGGTAGCATTTTGGAAGTTGAACCCAAAT